CCTGCTTCACATGATTCTTCCTTTAGTTGAGCCTTGTTTACAAGTCCAGTGAACTTGGCAATGCACACCTCAAGTTCTCATTTGCCCTGCTGAATATCCAAGAGGCACAAGATTGTGAGGGCAGTCTGATCTCCCAACTCAAAGGTAGCTTTGAGCCTTTTGATGAACCTTTGGAAGGTGTCAGTATAGTAGATAGAACCATCAAGCAACTTGTTTTCATTTTGATAGTTCTCAGCAAAGGACACAGCAGTGCCCTTGGTCATGTACCTGAGTGCGAATGAGATCTTGAGTGATTCCATGTTGTAGACATGTCTGTTCAGGTTCAAATATCCTTCGACCTGTGTGATCCAGGTCTGAAGCCCATTGTGGCTTCTGTCATATTCTCCAGGATGCCCGACATTAAACTCCCAACCTCCATTGGGTGGGTGGCTCAAGTAGTCATTGTCTTCATTGGCTTTGGCTTTCCCCTTACTGTTACCACCAGTGGGCAACTCTGGGGGTATGGCCTTTCCGAAGTTCCTACAATACCACTCTCGCAAAGCTGAGTCAGTAGGCATACCTGTTGGGAACAGGTCACTTGTAGTTGTGTGCATGGCCTGGTGGAGCTCCTCCACCATAGCAACTCTTTGTTCTTCCAACCTCTGTCTCAGTTCCTCTTCCAAAATGGTCCTCAGGGGCATTTCAGGAACCAAATCTCCATGACTGATCATCATGGACATTTCTTCTTGATTATGTGCTTCTTGTTCTTCTTTGAGGACTGATCCAAAAGAAGTCTCAGACTTCTGATCATCTTCTTCTGAACTAAGCACAATCTCTGAATCCCTAAACCAGGATAGATAAGATAACTGGGGGTTGGTTGCAGTAACTGAAGGACTGAGTCTTCCTAGAGGGATGGGTGGTAACGGTGGATTCCTACTGAGCCCAAGTGGATTAGGATGAGGAGGGACCAGGGGTTTCGATTTCTGCAGATTAGACACTTTTATGGGAAGTGGGAATGAAAGGCTGAGGGAGGATTTATTTCTCAAAAGAAACCTGTCAGTGTAGAGATGTTCTATGTGCAAGTGACTTTACACATAGGGAGACACAGGCACTGGCTCTAGGGAGGCAATCTATTAAAGCCTAGTGGCTGCCTGTAGAGTGGTGGATTTGATTATGGGTAGAGGGGTGCTTCTCAATCTTATTCAAGGAAGCAGGACAAAGGCAGGTTAGTCTTTACACATAGGGAAACTGACAAGCCTTGTGTGGAACAGGAGTGGTTTGTTGAAGTTCAGTAACCAGGGACAAGTAGACTTTCATGAAGAGGTCGATGGGTCCTGAAAGCTGTGTAGAGTGTTTTGATTTTGTTATGCCCAAGTGCAGTGACTTCTTCAAATGGAATAGGCATGAAGTGTGTGAGGGGGAGTCTATGGGCCAAACATGTTGTAACCCCTATGGCTCAGTTATTGCTGAAGTCCAACAGAGGTTCACTCCTTCTGGCAGTCCCTAGGGTTGTCACACAGAGGAGGGAATGAGGATGAGAGCAAAGGGATGAAGCTGAGTTGCAAGCTATTGAAAAACTGAGGATACAAGGTAAAGTACATGGGACTATATACTTCTACGCACAAGTACCATACCAGTCATGACACATATCTGCAGTAACCAACAAAAGCATCACTCAAATAAATAAGTCAGAATGAGTCATATGGTGTCATATGATGGGTGGAGGCAAGGAAACAAAGGCTATACCAGCTGTGCAATCAATGCACAGCAAGGAGCCAGACACCAGAGCTATAATACAACATTTGAGCAACATAAACAAGTCATAGACAGACCAGAAGTGGGGAACATAACAAGTCATCCATCAGAGAGGGCAGTGGAACACCAGATCAAATGAGAGGTGCAGTCTCAACAGGTATTGAAAATACCTTGACAGCCAGAGATCCAAGTGAGCCTTGTAGCATATGAACCCCTAGGATGGCAACAACCATGAGAGATGCAACAAGGCATGTGATACATGTGACCTCATGAAGTCGAAAAAGGAAAGACCCCTGACACAGGCATAACACCTTCATACTTAGGTTTCTCTATTGATCATTTTCATACTTTGCCAATTGACCATTTTAATACTTTGAACACCTCTGTTGACCATTTTCATACTCTGGAATCTTGTACACTCATTGTTTTTGCTTTGAATGTTTTGCTTACAAGACCACTAACATCTACTAATCACATCTGTAAAATATCCCATTGAAATTAAAATTGCACATTTGTGTTGCACAGAGCTCCATGGACTGCAGCCTGAGGACAAGCAAGGTTTCTGCCGACACCAGTCAGCATTTCCTGAGTGGAATGTAAGTATCATGAATGATTAGGCGCCGGTAATCCAAGCGGCCCGCTTGTTCGAACTGCAGATGCAGCTGTACACCAGCTTCCTTTCGACACGCACGGCCCATTGGATCCGTACCGTCTCTCGCCTTCTATAGGGTCTCAATTGCTCACCGCTCAGTCAAGCCAAGACGAAGATCCGCCGGCCAAAACTCTGAAACAACTTCATGGCGCACTTTACCATGCAGACATTGACACCCTATTCTCCGCAGCCTCTCGACGCATTCTTGGACGCACGCGTACATGCACCGTGGCCTTACCCTCCTGTCAAGCTTCTTTTCTCCACACCATCGTGCAGTAAGCCGCTATTGCACAACTGTTTCTCCCTCCCCGTCTGGATCGACATATTCTGCTCTGACTATTCACGAGGCTGTGCGTGCTGACACAATACAGGTCTGGGAATCCTGCTAGAAGGTTCCGTTACACGTTGCAATGGTGGGATCTGAAGCATAAAGGACGGACGCGCGAGTGGCGCTCGCAGAGATATCGGACCCGATCGCTCGCTCACCACAGTTAGGACCGGCAGTCAGAACGCGACCGCTCGCCGCGAGGCAGAGCCCGCTTTAATTGCAGGAAGGGGGTTCGCGCCAACTACAATATGGCGCGCAGGTCAAGACTGTAACTCGAATGACATGTGACTTGTGACTCTGGCCGACCAGCTGGCAAGACCTGGTAGGAGGCTTGCATGGAATGCTGGGCGCTGTTGTCGGCATATGTAATGGTTATTTTACTTGGTTTTCGTCGTAGTTTACCTCGCAGGCTAACCTTCGATTTTCCAAGTTGTCGTGCCTGTTCTCCGTACGTACAACAGATGCCGCTCAGCGACAACTTTCCCACCTCGACTATCATATCAAGACCCACGCAGTACACACGTACATCCTCGCGCTTTTCGCTTCCGTTTCTTCACTCTGCCTGCCCGTGTCGGACTCCTCGAGGTCTTTCCTTGCACTGCTGCATGACCTGATGTTCAGTTTGCTTCGGTCACATCTTTCATCACTTGCTAGAGCTCTTAGTATGGCTCTGACAGCTTCCCAGTCTGCAGAATTGGCACCGGCCACTTTGGAAGAACTGGTGCGTGTATAGAAAGTCGATGCGGCTGTAAGAGACGGAAACCGGTGAAGAGAAGGAGATACCATTAGAAGGATACGTTAATGCCGATGGCGTGCGGGAGTCAGAGTGTCGTGTGCTAGCGGTCGCACTTGTGCCTGTTAGATGAACAACTATAATGAAACAGATGCAGTCGGCGGGATTGACACCAGCGGATAATAGCCCGAGATCATTTTGGGTTATGTGAGGTTGGATATTTGACTGCGAGTCGCCCATATTCGACAGGACTCACACCACACTCGTCCTTACCCTTCTTGAATACACCCGCTGTCAAAGTGGCAGTTCGATGTATCATCCAACAAGATGTCATAAAAGATCTCGTGGCCGACACAGAGCCAATCAATGAGGAGATGGGTGTCATTGAAAGGGTCAACATCTGGGAGATAGAACTAACGGACTGGAACTCCTCGAATCTTACATGTGTTCACCGTTATGATCCCCAACGACACTCGGACTCACCCCTCAATTTTCTGCCGGGTAGACTATGTTAATCCCAATGTTGGCTTCGCTTCTTGTGTCTTCTTCGTCCTCACGCGCTTCGCCTCCGTTGGGGGAGGGGGGTACGATTGCGATGTCGCTACAAAGCAGAGGTTCATACAAGTGTTCGGCCATGGAGCCCAGGACAGCCATATGAAGTTCGCGACGAGACCATGTCGTCCAACGAACTGACTCTTGGTGCATTGCCGAAGCTACTGAAAGCCTGATACGATCTCTACGTGTCTTATTAGTCTTTTCCCCCCCGTATTTTGTTGGATTTCTTTGTGTCCGATAATTATCTAAGTAGATACTAGATGCATATGACAATCGACCATGTCATAGCCAAAATTGTTGTATCATGTACACGACGCCGAGACATATCCTTGCTCACGTTCGCCTGCTCAAGGCCTCCACAGACCCACCCTCGGCAGACGGACTGTTCAAATCAGCACCGTCAATGGCTTCATGTGGCGCCTGGTGGGATACGTGGGTCGGTTCTGTGAAGAAGGCTAAAGTTCTCGTTGAATGAGGCTCCTGCAGGGGTCTGTCACTCTCAAATCCCTAAATGTTTGGTTTCTGTTGCAGCAGACGCTCTCATCTTCGGTGTCCTCTGTTCGTCTGCTGAGATCTTGGCTGCTGCTACTACTCTCTCACACGTAGGAATAGTTAGGGAACTCATCTCACTTTCGCGCGTCCGCGACGTCAACCTTGGTGGTGTATATGCACCTGCCCGTGCCGTGCTTGTGACACTATGGCCCTTGGCTGGAAAAAAAGTGGGCACGGATGCTTTGATGGAAAGTCTTGCAGCCATATTGGGCATTTCCGTGCCTTGGAACGTGAGTGTGTACCGTTCGGTGGCGCTCTCTCTCATGGCAGGTTCAGAATAACTTGGCTTGGGTATGTACCATTGCAGTCGTATCATACTGGGGGGGCACCTGGGAACTTCGAGAACATGAAGAAGGTGATCTTTCTGCTTTGCGTTCGTTCTCCTTGCTAATTAACATACACACCAGTCGTACACCACCTTCCTGTCGACACATGTGTTCCATTGGATCCGTACCTTCTCGCCTTCTAGCAGTTCTCCCTCACTCAATGCACAGTCAAGCCCAGAAAGCCTGTCGTCGAAAACCCTGAAACAACTTTATGACAACATTCACCATGCAGCTATCGGCACGTTATTCTCTGCTGAGGGTTTCGAGCAATCTCTCGACGCCCTGCTGGATACACTTTGGCTCACGTCCACGGACCATTGCCTTGCCTTCCGCGCTTCTTTTCTGCACGTCTCAATGCAGTAATCCGCTATCGCACTCGAAGCTCGCTAGAAATGAGGTGGACCAAGCCCTACTCCTTCTAGGTCGGGATTATCTGTCCTGGCCATTCTTGAAGGTCATGTGTGCTGATGCAGCAGAGGCCTGGGAGCCCCGTTGGGAGGTTCTCTTATGCAACGCCCTCATAGTGAGACGCGGAGCACCAAGAACGAGCATATGGATAGCTTTCGTAGGGATCTTGGACGTGATCGAAAAGAAGTGCTCGTACACCCCAAGCACAACTATTAGGTAGGTCAGGCAATCAGAACATGGATCCCAGTCATAATCTGGAGTCTGCCTTGGTAGGAACGAGGGAGCTTGTGCTGGTCACAGTCAAGTGCATGGGTCATGTTCGTAACTCAAATGACAAGTCGGTCGTGATTCTGGCGATAGACGTTCTCGACGTGCTGGTAAGAGTTGATGTATGAACTGGTAGGTAACGAATTGACAGGTTACTGGCGCTGCTGCCGGTGTGAGCAGTAGTAATTTGCCTGGTTTGGTGTATCTCGCAGCCTAATCTTCGGTTTCCTAGTTGCCACACCCGTTCTCCATGCGGACAACGGATGCTGTTTAGCGACTACTTTCGGATCTTCTCGACTATCACACTAAGACCCGTACGGTACACGCGTACATCCTCACGCTCCTTACTGCCCTTTCTTCACTCAGCCTGTCCGAGCCGGTTCCCTCGCGGTCTCTCCCTGTACCACCATATGACGTGATGTTCAGTCCGCTTCGGTCACATCTTTCGTCGCTCACTAGAGCTCTCCGTATGGCTCTGACGCCGTGGAAAGCAGACACTGCTGAAAGAGGTCAAAGTCGACGTGGCGGTAAGCGACGATAAATTGATGAAGGGGCGGAGGTACCAACAGAAGGACATGCTAATGATGATGGCACGCTGCGGTCGAAGTGTCACTAGATCGCTAGCAGCTGCCTTTACTTATGTTTCCCGTTTGTCGGCAGCATTCGCGCTAGGCTCTGCCTGTATGCGCATGTCTCCGACGCTCACAGTCCAGGATCCACGTTGGGACGAGGTTGGGAAGCTGGGGTGGACTGTCGCCTGGGAGTGTGTGCAGTGGCACGGACAAGGTGAGTGGCAAGAAGTAGCCCCCAAACCGAAGCCGAAAGAAGAGAAAGAAGTGGCAATGCGTAAGGGCACAACAAGATCCTGATATGCCAGGTTCGGATGATGTCGTCACTTCTGCTGCGTTGCGATGCCTATGTGGTGCTCGCGCTTGGTTGTGTAAGCGTACGCTTACTACTTACACACACATCACTCACACCGCCACTCACGCGCCACTCATGATATTACTTCACACTATCACACCTCCTATCGCGCCCTCGTTTCATCGTCTGGGCATGCAGATCACTACTGTGTTGCATTGTTTGGACCCTGGGGGGGTATATATATCGGTGCTACATGTACGCGCAGGACATCTCTCTCCTTTCCTTCCTTCCCCCTCGATCGTCTTGTATCAGCGTATATGCTTGATCGTTTAATCACACACGCCTGTCCACGTTCTGTTGCTGTTGCGATCCGTCTTGAGTTTGCTCACCCCTACCGTGGTGAGTTCCAGATTGATGAGTTGCGAACTCGCCAACGCCCGTGCCGCCGGGCCAAAATGACGTATTAAGAAGCGATAAAATCGAGAAGTTGCTGGGCGTCGTCGGGGACGAAGGAACGTCCGCAGAATTAGTACTAGAAGCCGTGCGTATGGCATACGCTACTCGCACGAACACCTCCGTCTTGGGTTTCACTATCTCAGCACCTCGGCGTTGCCGACAGCCGTGCTCTTAGTCGACTTCTCACCGCACTCACCGTCAAGACTGTCCCTCGGGCGCACAACACAACACACTACGATTGCCGCCGAAACACCACGAGCCGAATCCCTGACAAAGCCTTTGCAAAGCATGTAGGACACCTCTTGGCATACATTGACTCTATGAACGACTCGTTGCGTATCCTGACACCGGAGATACGACGAGAACTCGAGTCTGGGCCATTCTCATTATGTGAAATGCTCGGCGAGTACAATCGAGATGCTCTGATTGTCTCTGCACTTGATTCCGGCAGCAAGACTCTCATGAAGTCGCGCGGGAGGGAGTACGAGAAGCAGCGATATGTAGGGAAGGGGTAATGCGATATATATCTTTGGCCTTAGAACTGACTTCGCCTCTCAGCGAGCAACAAAACCGTCCATCAGTGGAGGGAGCGCCGACGCGCCTGCTATAAAAGTTATCTATTGATGTTTAGTTGGAAAACTACGTAGTGGCATATGAATGACTGTGGCATGGAGATTGATAGGTGTCCCGTTAGATTGTCATACAAATTTTATATCAGAGGGTCTGCCACTTCCATGGCTATCGGTTGGAGTCACCCACAGCGTGAAAGATAGGATCTCAACTGGGTGGGGGTAAGGGGAGGATAGGGCGGTAGCCAGAACGCAGCACTCACTGGTGATGCATTTTGGAGACGAAGCTTGGGTCATGTACTGTGGAAGGGTGACAATAGCGTCGGCATGCTCAACGGTGGTCGTTGTCGACACCACCAGCGGATGGAGTCATAGCACATCGGTAGGTTGTTCAGATCTTGACCCCGTCATTGTGCGGGCGTCTTGGTCAGGTCAATGATCGTTTATACCCCTCGTGCTAATGCTAGGGTGGGTTAGCAAAGAAACATGCCGCTTGTGGTTTTCCCAACTGCACGGCAGAGTATTATGGAAGAATGACTTTGGAAACCATATCCTCGAGGGAGGAGCTAGGGAAGCCCCACTGTGCTGCGGTGTCTGGTGTGAAGGATGGAGCGAGCACGGAAACACAGTCGCTGAGAAGATCGGTAGTACGTTTAACCAGGAGCATAAATAGTGTACCTTTCGAGCTGGCTTTGGCACCGCGGAGAGTATGGGCCGAGCTCCCCTGGCATTGCTATGAGCAATCGAAGATAGCAAGGAAGGACCGATGGTCGAGTCTTTCCTGCGCCAATGCATCACCGGGACTCGGTCAGACGACGAGAAGAAATGGGACGGTCCAACAGGAACTCGGTGGTCGTAGTTCACACGTGTGTCAGGCCGTGCACTGCAGACAGGTGGGCGTTTACTGCTAACTAGTGAGCCTGCGATCTTGGACGCAGTCAACAGGGCCTTCGTAGCGATCACGTGGACATTATGTAATCTAAGACGCGTTCAGACTTAGATTACCTCCCCCTGTCTCGCGTCTCTCTCTCCTTCGACCTTCGTCGTCTTTCGTCCAAGCACTCATCGTTCTCGCGCATATACTCTTCAGCTCTTTGCTCTCCCTCCCACCTCCCTTTCACATCTTAGCGTGTTTGGTCGGTCCTGTGGCCTCTTCTCCTCTCTTCCACTCGTCCGCTCTCACACGCTCAGAAAGCCGCACCGCTTCTTTCCGCGCACTCTCCTCTTTCGATCCCTCTTTGTACGAGTCACGTGACCCCTTCTCACTCTCAATCTCGGCTTCGTAGTCACGTGACCCCCGCTCGGTGCGGGCGCGCTCTCGGCATCTCGGCACGCTCGCTCGATTCTGGAGCCTAGCATCCGGCGGCCTTCCCCCCCACACACTAGATCGCTCTCTCTCCTTTGTGATCTACGTTTCTCTAGTCATTCTGTTCTCTTCGCTTTCTTGTTCTCTTGACTTGTATCTTCATCTCTACTCTTCGTTCGTTCACCTAGCTACGAAGGCACGTTGATTCAATGCCCCTCGAATCCGCAGTCGTTTGCCCTTCTTACTTCACCGCCATCGTCCCCTACAGTCGTAGCACGCTTACTGCTCAAGGCATCCTAAGACCTGTTTTCTTATCTTCACATCGCCATGGCGCCGAGCTCTCTTCGTTCCTGGTGGCGTTCGCTGCGGCGTTCTCAACCTCCGAGTCGCGATGCTGGTATATTACTCCCCACTGAACCCACTCCTTCAGTTGCTTCGCACGGAATCGGAGTCCCTACACAGGCTTCAGACTATCGCTTAGATCCTACCGAGGTCAGAAAGCAGATTGGTCGCATCTCTCGTTTTCGCATTCTTGTCGTGGGCAGAGCAAATGCGGGTAAAACAACTATTTTACAACGGGTCTGTAACACTACGGATCAGCCTGAGATCTTCGACGGAAACGGAGAGAAGGTACGTGTATGTGCTATGTACTTCATGTTTGTCAATGTATCATTCTGCCAGGTGGATGCTCGGACGCTGCAGGGTTCATTGAGGGTAAGACTACACATGAACTTATGCAGGGCTCACATCAATCCTATGCAGCGTGGCTACCATAATATTGAGGATGAGCTGGTGTTTAAAAGTAACCCGCGCTTTGTGTTCCATGACTCATGTGGATTTGAGGCGGGGAGCGAGGCAGAGTTTGATAAGGTGAAGAAATTTGTTACAGGTCAAGCAAAGTCCATGAAACTGGAGGAGAGAATACACGCAATTTGGTAGGGACATGTCTGACTAGCATGCCTGTAAGTGTGCTGACTTGGTCTTTGTATGTGATTTAGGTATTGCATTCCTTTGAATGAAAACCATAGGATGGTAACAGCAGCTGAAAAGAAGTTCTTTAATGAGTGTGATACAGGACATGGTATGTGTACACAAATATCACATCACCTTTAGTACAAAGATTGAGGATTTGCACAGTTCCTGTGATTGTGCTACTAACAAAGGCAGACACCTTAAATCTTGATGCAGTTCAGGAGCTTACAAGAAGGGGGTTAACTGTAGATGATGCAATGAAAGAGGCACCAGAGGTAGAAAAACAGCTGCAAAAGAGCTGTCTGGAAAAGATCAAATGGTGGCTGAATGAACTAAAGTTTCCACCTCAAAGCTATCTGATCCTCACTGGTAAGTAAGTCATGAATAAAAAATTGCAGATTAGGATGTATCTCTTCAGGCATGGAACAGGAGAGTGCAGATTGTGTAGAGCTATTGAAATGCACAGCAGATGCTTTGACAGAGGAAGGGCTGCAAGGACTGCTTATATCATCACAGCAGTCAAACTTGGGACTCTGCATGGAATTTGCCATCATGAGGTGAGTGATAAAAATCAACTTTGCAGGGTACTGACTACAGAAAGGACATTGAAGAGGATCATGAACAATGTGGCTGACCAGATTGAACCAGATGACATAGCATATGCCCTTGCAACATGGTTCCCATATGTAAGCAACCAGTGTTTTGGGTGAATAAGAGGCTGATTAGGTTATAGAAAGTGTGTGAAATTCTGCAAGTGCAAGTATAACTGATGCTGAATGTAATTGTTGTGATTGCTGTTGGATTCTGATTGATAGTATGTAAGTTGACTCAGGGAAGACAGTGGTGGATGCATGTTGACCATGTTCAATCCCACCCTGTTGGACTTGGGTTGATAGTTGGTAAGTGAAGGTATGATCAATGATGGTGGATGCATGCTGACAGGTTCACTCCCCCCCTGTTGGATTGGGGTTCATAGGGAGTGAGTATAGCCATGGCTGATGATAGTGGATGGATGCTGACATGTCCACTCCCATCCTGTTGGACTGGGGTTCATAGGGAGTGAGTGGAGTCATGGCACATGGTGGTGGATGCATGCTGACAGGTTCACTCCCCACCTGGTTCATAGGGAGTGAGTGGAACCATAGCAGATGGTGGTGGATGCATGCTGATGTGTTCACTTTCACCCTGTTGCACTGGGGTTCATAGAGAGTGAGTGGAGTCATGGTTGATGGTGATGGATACATGCTGACATGTCCGCTCCCACCCTGCTGGACTGGGGTTCATAGGGAGTGAGTGGAGTCATGTCTGGTAGTGGTAGATGCATGCTGACACACCCACTCTCATACTGTTGGACTGGGGTTCATAGGGAGTGGGTGGAGTCATACCAGATGACAGTGAATGCATGCTGACATGTTCACCCCCACTGTTGGACTGGGGTTCATAGGGAGTGAGTGGAGTCATACCAGATGACAGTGGATGCATGTTGACATGTTCACCCTCCCTGCTGGACTGGGGTTCATAGTATGTAAGTGGAGTCATGGCAGATGGTGGTGGTTTCATGCTGACATTTTCACTCCCCCCTGTTGGACTTGGGTTCATAGGATGTGAGTGGGTCAGGGCAGATGGTGGTGGTTTCATGCTGACATGTTCACTCCCACCTTGTTGCACTGGGGTTCATAGGGAGTGAGTGGAGTCATGGCAGATGGTGGTGGATGCATGCTGACATGTTCACTCTCATCCTGTTGGATTGGGGTTCATAGGGAGTGAGTGGAGTCATACCAGATGACAGTGAATGCATGCTGACATGTTCACTCCCACCCTGTTGGACTGGGGTCCATAGTATGTGAGTGCAGTCATGGGTGATGGGGTAGATGCATGCTGACATGTCCACTCCTGCCCTGTTGGGCTGGGCTTCACAGGGAGTGAGTGGAGTCATGGATGATGGTGGTGGATGCATGCTGACATGTTCACTCCACCCTGTTGGACTGGGGTTCACAGAGAGTGAGTGGAATCATGGCAGATGGCAGTGGATGCATGCTGACATGTCCACTCCCACCCTGTTGGAATGGGTTTGTAGTATGTAAGTGGAGTCATAGTTGATGGTGGTGGATGCATGGTGACATGTTCACTCCCACCCTGTTGGACTGGGGTTCATAGGGAGTGAGTGGAGTCATGGCAGATGGTGGTGGATGCATGCTGACATGTTCACTCCCCCCTGTTGGACTGTGGTCCATAGGATGTGAGTGTAATCATGGTTGATAGTGGTGATTGCATCCTGATATGTTCACCCCCAATGTTGGATTGTGGTTCATAGGAAGTGAGTGGAGTCATGGACAATGGTGGTGGTTTCATGCTAACATGTTCACTCCTACACTGTTACTGGGGTACATAGTATGTGAGTGAAGTCATGGTTGATGGTGGTGGATGCAAACTGACATGTTCACTCCCACCCTGTTGGACTGGGGTTTGTAGGATGTGAGTGGAGTTATGGTCAATGGTGGTGGATGCATGCTGATATGTTCCCTCCTGCCTTGTTGGACTGGGGTTTGTAGGATGTGAGTGGAGACTTGGCCAATGGTGGTGGATGCATGCTGATATGTTCACTCCCCCCCTGTTGGAATGGGGTTCATAGGATGTGGGTGGAGTCATTGCAGGTGGAGGAAGATTCATGCTGACATGTTCACTCTCACCCTGTTGGACTGGGATTAATAGCTTGTGAGTGGACCATGACAGATGCTAGTGGATTTATGCTCAATATATTTGCCACCCCTTTGCTGCACTTGCATTCATAGGATGTTAGTGGATGCATGGAAAATGGTGGCAGTGCATCCTTGCTGATATATGATTTTCTCACCTATGCTGTTGCATTCACATTCATAGGATGTGAGTGATGTTGTGCCAGACTCTGCAGGAGGAATATGTTGCTCACCATCCTCACTATTTCACTGTTGACCTCTCGCTGTTAGAGAGTGAGTGTTTTGTTAATCACTCATTTATTAAGCATTTCACCAGGTCTCCACATTAAATAGATGGTGAGCTAAATCAATGCATGTATCTTGGCAATGTTTCTGAGACACTGTTAGGATGTAGGTGCAATCTTCCCATGAACTATGCCTGTTATTCTGACCTCTCCTGTGTCTTTCTCAGAATGTTAGTTGTCATAATTCCTCACAAATCCTGACAAAGTTTAACCTATTTCCAGAATGTATGCTTTTGTTTCACATCCTGCACTCATCCATTGCCCACATGTATTACAGTTGGTTTGTCACTCTTTCCTACCTTAACATTGGCTCCCATTTTGCCTTGACATCTTGGCAGGTGGTATGCTTGTTTCACTTCTATCATTTTTGCTAGCTGCCAATGATTTGTTGAATTGGTTGGTCATAGCAACCCATCATACACAACACCAAGTCCATCTCCATCCCTACAATGTCCACATCAAGTCAGCCTTCCCTGACAGCACTTGTAGAACATGGCATTGGTAAATTATATCTTTTGATGCCACTTTAATCACAAGCTCATTGTTACAGGTTGTGTGATCATCTTTGAATACTTATTTTTCCAGTTGCAGGTTAAGAATGGGAGTACTGCAAGGAAGGATATGCAGCAAAACCTGACAGTGGCTGCAAGAGAATATCAGAAATCAGGTATCCAAGACATTGTTAATGCATGCATTGCCATAGCCTTCCAGTGCCATGGTGAAAGTGTGGATGATTTATGCCTTGTGCTTGTGGGTATAGCACAGGAAAACCAGATGTGTAAGACACTATTTTTGCCACAGTGATAGATGTCCTATTTCAACTGTCTGCAGCAAAGAAATTGTTGAAATGAAAAAAGATAATTTCATCCCTTATGCAGTTCACCATTCTTGGTAAGTCCCTTGATTTCCATATACTGAACCAGTATGAAGATTTGATTTGCAGCATCCCAATGCTTACCAGTGCCTTTTTTGAAAATTGCTAATTGCTATGGAGAATCCTGTGAAATGTGGAATATACTTGTTACAGTGTAAAACTATATCTTCTCATATAGTTCTGTGCAACCTCCAAATTTGAAAACTGATTTCTTGGAATCAGGCTGGGAATGCATGCTGCCTTTGTATAACACCCTACAAATTGCTGGAAGCTGGAAATGTACACAAAGGTTTCTGAAGTCCCATATACATCCAAACTGCCACCACAGTATTACAATTCTCACAAATGTGTCCAGTGTTACTAACCTTAGAGTCAGAAAACATCTGTCCATGTGCAAACTGTTTTTTTGCACATTGCTAAAGTTGCTCAGTCTCCTCATGATGCAGAATGTTTGGCATTCTGCATTCAGACCTCCTTAGGCTTTTCTGTTGGAGTAAAACAGCCCCTGACAATACTAGGACTTAGGCACATGAGCACAATGCTTACATAATCCATTAATGTGCACACTTGCACTAGTAAACTTTACACTAGTCCCTCAGTAGTTTGAAAGACTACTGTGGTCTCTTATACAAACATAAATTCTACAGGTTACAAGCCCTGAGTCCACACTCTGATTGCAGAGGACTTGTGAAGCTACCAAAAAAATCCTACAGCTAATTGAGGATGGTGCCTATACTTGCAAAGGACAGACACAGCTTGAGTACCTTTGGAGAATGGGTGTCAAATCCAGTTCTTCTCCAGTGATAAGTCCAGTTTTGAGGCCAGACAGGAGGGGGCACATGTGGATAGGGGTAATAGGTATAGACTGTTTGGACATAGTGGCTGTGGGTCTGGGTTCAGAGGTTGAGTCCCAAGGAGAAGTAACTTGTATGATTTCAGACTGGATGACACTGCCACTTGCTGATGTACTTTAACACACAATCAACCATTGCTGACATGTCCACAACCTTACCAATCTCATTTGAACTCATGCCAACCATCCTACCATACATGTAAGTTGGCTGACACCTACCAGTCTTGACAGTATACTTGAACTCAAACCTGTGCAAGTTCACTTGCACTACCCATTGAAAAAGCATGTCCAGAACTATACACATGTATGCTGCACTCTCCCCCATCCCTGAGTCAGCACCAACTATTAACAGCCAATGTTTGGCAGTGCTGAATGCACTAGAAAGCAACAGTGCACACATAATGCAGTCAACCATAGTCCTGAAACTGGGACATCCCACATGTACATTGTTGGCCTAAAAGTGGGCTTAACTGACATTGGCCAACAGCCCAGAAAGTGGTCAGTCCCATGGAAGTGGTATTGGCCATCCCAGCCACAACATGGGCCACCACCCTGGAAGTGGTATTGGCCCACCTCACCCAACCATGAGGGAGTTCCCTGGAAGTAGGGTCAGCTGACCTAGCCTCAGCATCAGCCAGTGCCCTGAAAGTGGTATCACCTGACATCACCTAACCATGAGAGAGCTCCCTGGAAGTGGTGTCAGTTGACCTAGCCTCAGCATGTGCCAGTGCCCTGAAAGTGGTATTGGCTGACCTCACCTAACCATGAGTGGGGTCCCTGAAAGTGGTGTCAGCTGACCTAGCCTCAGCATGGACAAGCCCCCTGAAAGTGCTATTGGCCAACCTCCCCTAAGGATGGCCCAGCCCCCCTGGCAGTGGTATCAGTTGACCTGACCTCAGCATGGGTCATCCCCCTGGAAGGGGGTCAGTCAATGTAGCCAAAGTGTGGCCCAGCCCCCTTCCAAATGAGCCTCAACTGTCAATGATGAGTTATGCACTGAACTGACTGCTTGAGTGACTTCTGAATGCTTTTGTAGCTAAGTACAGGGGGTTTATATACTGTGGGGGGAGCACAGCCTATGACAAACAATGCACAAATGCTTGGTAAGTAATGAGTAAGGACTGTAAGCAATGAGTAATCATGACAAGTAAGTGAGAAATGAAAAGTAAGCAAGCATGGAAGGATTGGTAAGTATTGGCAATACATGAGTCAAGGACCATCAAAATATCATAATATCAGTCAAATCATGTCAGAACCTGAGTAAGCACACTGATATCACATTAGGGGGTGGTGATGCATGTCAGATCTCAGCAGAGACATCTCTGGACCAAAAGATTCAATGACAGATGGACAGTGTTTCCAGACAGGGAAGTATTAATTCCAGAAATGGATGGTATGAGTCAGGTGTCAAAGAGATAGGGTGTTGGGGGTCTGTGGGGTAATGGGAGCATAGGCAATTG